CTCCTCCCCGCCTGTCTTTCCAGCACACTTGACTCGCACACCTCATCTGGTTTCCCTAACCACACCGGAGAGCAGTCCCTTCGGAAATACCCAATTAAAGCAGTAAACAAGAGCTTCCTCTGAGGAATCAGTCATAGGTGCTGAGGGCTCTGACACTGATGTCACGCCGCTGAGGAGAACACGACTTTTAGGCCTGTCATTGGCTTTTAATAAGCTCACTCATGCGCGTCTCAGACAAACGGCGAGAGTGCGTCGGTGTATTTTTTGTGGTATTGATGCACTTGAGTCACTTCCAGACACTTTTATCCTCTGAAGGAGCAACAGTCAGAGCAGATCAAAGTGAAGGGTGACGAAAGACAGAAAGGCATGTACAACAAGACACCCATAACAGTCAAGTCTGTCTTCAGAGGAAGATGCTGACAAATGATTTTTCCTGTAATGTATGTGATGTTGAAATCTCTGTCACTTTAATTCTTCTGGTGTCACGTTGATAGACGCTGTTATTTGCCGTAAAAGTTCATGACTAACATATGCAATACATGGTTAGTCAGCGAGCTCTGTAATTACAAATACATTAACCAAAACAAGCCACAATGTGCTGCGCCCCTGAGGTAAATACAGCTGCTGAGGGGGTACAACTCGATGCATAAACAGGATGCATCCCAGATATTTGAATAGTGTTAAGTGGAGTGTGTGGATATACATTAAATGCTTCCAGGCCTTCAGTGCAACAAGAGGCCCCTCTTGCATAAGCGTGTAGTCGACACTAGATTTTAAGCAGACTGTAGCAGACAAATGCACAGAACTCACAGGGAATATTCAAACCCCTCGCATGTTTTTACCTTAGAAATTGAATTTAAAATAAATACAGTTTGAATGTTGGGTGCAGAGCTACACACAGGGATAAGCACTTTTGATAGAAGTGATCTGTGCTTTAAATAAAAGTATCTTTAGTTATATTTTTGGATAGTTTTTCTTTTGATGTAAACCACTTACAGTCCATTTGCTGATCAAATGACCTTTAGTTTTCCAGTGATGTGCAGAATATGAATATATATGTATGTATTCACCTTTAAAATAGACTCATTTGACTGGATATTTGATCTGATACTACACTAAAAAAGTCACTAATATCATGAAACACTCCCTCGAAACTGTCATTGCATTTACATTTTTCAGCTGTTTTCATTCTTATTGTACTCATTGTTTTATTTCTTTTTCATTTTTTGTTAATTCCTACATTTTAGCATTGTGAATGTTCGTGTTTTAACTAAACTCACCATGTATTTTTCTTTTACTGCTTTTTAATTTCCAATGTGTGCGTTTATTGTAGATACCTAAGCATCACTGAACATTATGATTCCCCTCAGTGTGTTCTCTGATTCTTTAAATAGTTACATTTTAAAGTACACACGTTTACTTTTTTAAGCATAAGAATAGAAAACTTTAGTGCTACTACATATTCAGAAACTTGTATTCATAAGTTGATGGATAATGGAAAAAATCAATCACTTTAACTGAACTAAAACTCTGAGTTAAGTACAGGTTTTCACTGTTTGTGCTGCAGGAATTAACACTGTCTGCAGTTCCTAAACTGACTTTGTGTATCAGACAGATACACAAACACCTACACACAGCGTCAGAGCTGGATGTCGCCACATTGCTCGCTCTGTTCGGCCACTGTAGGGTCTCTTCCAAATTGCTCATCAGTTTCCCCTCCAGCCCTCCTGCTATCAGCTCGCCGAAGCCTCTGGCCAACAGCTTCCTGACACCGACGCTGTTGGTGTTCCACCTCCCCATGACTCAGTAGAACCACAGAAATTTCCCATGCAGTATCAGCTGAGCCGCCTGTCCCCTCTGCGTCCTAACCTCCATGAAGCGCAGGCCTTGTTTGCTGCGTTTGCAGACAATAAATCATTTAAATCTGTCTGCATTTAGCGTCAGCGACAAGAAAAATGGTCCTGAAATGAGAAAATGAGGGTGGCGTGACTTTACATAATGGCTCATGGTTACAGTTGTATAAATGTTTTGGAACATGATTTCGCGTGAACAGCTCGTTATACAGGATGTCAGCTTCAAGTTCAGGGAGTGGGTGGTATCTAATGAAGCACAAGCAGCATCGTTTTTATCTTTAAATTAACTTGAAACTGAAAAAAATCAACACCATTATGATCTGTAATGACACCTCAGTCTAATAAAACAAAAGTGACTGCATGCTTCTTACCCACAACTTGCACATGAGAAGCCAACACCACACCCCCTGCTGAGTACACATGGGTGTCTGCCAACAATAACACATAACGGTGCCAAAATAAAAAAATACTTTATGCCTGACCACCTTGTTTTTACTCCAGGTTGGACTGGACCACCCTGGTGCTTGAGTCCACTACACATTCCTAGAACTTCAAGTGTTACCTGTCAAATCATTGCAGGTACTGCGGTGGGGGAAAGCTTGTATTTTCCCTGGGAGGGCAAAGTGTTTTTATTAGATGGAAACTACACATGCAACATAGTACAACATAGGTGGAACTGCCATGTCATTAATGTGTTCATGTGTGGAAGAAAGAGGGAAAAAATTAGAGTTTGTTTGGTTAGGAGGTGAAAATGGCAGTTCCTGAAATTAAAAGAATAACAGACAAGTCACCTCTGCACACTGGAAGTTATTTCAAGTTCAGCTTACAGATGTAAGTTCCTCTGCTGCCTTCAAAATGTGAGGTAACACTTTGGTTGCTTAATTTGCTCGTCGGAGTTGTGACAGTGAAAAACTAGTGAAAAAGTTCAAATAACTTTTAAGAAATAATTGCATAAACCTAAAATATTAGGTTGAATCAAGTAGTCATGTACAGAGTAGTTACAGGCTGACTTGATTTTACATTTTGAAAGTTTAAAGAGTTTCTTCTTCATTTAACATCGAGCGCTTGTAGCTACAGCTGTTGAAGTCAGTTTTGTTCAGAGTCTTTACAAAGTCAATCTGTGAGGATGATCACAGTTAATGTGACATAAACTATAAATCTGCGGACAAAGGAATTAAATGTAATACTAACTTTGTCACAGTTTTGGTAGATATGAAGACAAACAACCCACACCTTAATTAAGATGTATTAAAGTGGCACCAAGTTTCCGCCATGTCTTTTCTTTCAAGTTTTATTTCTATAACACTGCACTGTGGGATGTCAACCTATAAAATAGTAGGTCTTTATTCATTCAATTCATCATTTTAAACTAAAATCTCAAGGTAAAGGAACGCCTACTTTAAGGTTTTAAAGTGGTATAAAAAAATATATAGAAATGAACAAAATCAATGTTAAGTGAATTGGAAAAGAAAAGTTGACTTGATGTTTTACAGTGTATGAATAGACATAAGTTCATTTTGCTCACTACAAATATTAATACATCAAAAATGAAATGAAGAGAAATGCACCTCAACTCTATGCACGTAAATACATAAACTAAAAGCAGAATGAATAGAAAAAAAAACCCAGTGTGATGCAAAAACAGCAACTACCTAAAGCAGTTTTTAACATGAGGATGAGGTATTTGGTTTGTGAATAGACACATTCATACAGTTTGGGTTTTATTATCCACCAGCGGGAAATGCATATGAAGAATGATTATGTTGTAACTCAGTCCATAAAAATGAAGTGCAGAAGCATGCACGGAGCTGGATGAAGCACAGGAAAGTCCCACAGGTAGCAGACTTCCAAGTTGCCACTGGGTTACCAGTTACACATGCAGTGTAGGAGTGTTTGTGGACTGCAATGCATTAGTTCAACATTTGCAGCCTGTTTTGATTCATTATCTTTATTTATTTTACATGATTTCATCTCTTTTGTGTAGTTTCATGAAGCACAATGTAGCATATATTGTCCCCAGTACTATAATGTATTACAGGTTTTTCGTTTTAAAAGTTTGGTTGACTGATTCCTGATCAAGAACAAACGCAATAGAAGCCGCATAGTTGGTAAGATTTCGCAGATAAGCTGAACTATCGGTGGGAAAATCTTTAGTTAATGTGGTTTATTTATAACTAACGATTAATAGAGACTAGTAAATGTTTGTTTGATGTTCTTCCTTTCGCAAATTCAGAGTGTTAAAATGAATCAAAACCAAAACAACAACAACATTTAAGAACATACCGAAGATACCCTGTTAGATTAAGACACTCAAATATCAAGTTGTCATCATGAATCATCAAGGTACCAGTACATTGTCCGACATATTTTATTGTTTTTGCAGGTAACCTAACAATATATTCTATTTTAGAAACAGTACACTGGCTGATGTTATAAGTAGTAGGACCTGGCTGATTATTGGATCTGATAGTCAGGATTTTCGCGATTATCTGTATTGTTATGCAGTCGCCTCCTATCTGTAGTTTCCATTCTGTGATCTTGAGCAATGATCCACTTGCAGCATTATCTGATTGGTTCCACGCCATGAGCACTGGCCTATCAGCAGGATAAACAACGTAGAAAAGCTGGCGTTTAATTTGACTTGTGTAAAACATACAGTGATGACAAAGGTTTTCATTTGTATTGCAAATGTACTGTGTGTAAGTTGTAAATATCGGTTATTGGTCCCTTTAATTATTAATAACTGGTATCGGCCCCTAGTTAAAAGTGAACTATGGCTTCTTTGTACCCAGCAGTAAACAACAGTCTATACAATATAAAACTGGGCAGAGCAGGGATGGTAAAAATAGCAGCTACTGTAAGTAACAGTGGCTCTCTTTGAAAATGCTTGCGAGCCAGTGGAGTGTTATGTAATATTTTCAAGTACTCTTGTCTTATTTGGTGTACACAGTCTATAAGGGATTACCCTGCTCACTCTCCCCTCATAATCTGCTCGTGATGACGTTATACTGCAGCTCCTGGGCTCCAGTTCTCGCGAGGTTATGGAAAACAATCCAGACGCCCTCTCTCTCTCTCGCTCTCGGCTCCCCCCTCCTCCTCCCCAGCCCTCCCTTCCCACGCCCCAGTGCGCTGTGGGATAGTGCCACTATAAAGTATATCCTCTCTCGGAGAAAGATAAGAAGCCCGAGACAGGAGGGGGATGAAGATGGCGGACGCCAAGCAGAAGAGGAATGAGCAGTTAAAGCGATGGCTGGGCTCGGAAACGGACCTGGAGCCTCCTATTCTGAAAAAGAAGAAGACGAAGGTGAAGTTCGATGATGGCGCCGTGTTTCTGGCCGCCTGCTCAAGCGGCGATACCGAGGAGGTGCTCCGAATGCTTGACCGGGGCGCTGACATCAACTACGCCAATGTAGACGGTCTCACCGCCCTCCACCAGGTTTGTGTTAGCCTGCTGTAGGTGTTAATGTCTCCATAAGACACAAATATCGCTCTGCTGCTAGCGACTGCTCGCCCTGGAACACCTGTCAAATGGAAGCCATTCTCATCCCGTTGTTTACCTACCTAGCTCACTCGTCCTTTTCGACGCAGACTAGGGATGAACCCGCTGCCTTCTGCCTCAGCTTGGTTATGTAGTAAACAGCTCGAACCATGCATTCAGTTTTCACAGTACAATAAGTGGCGAAGTTAAACGCTTCGCTTTCAGGACTAATGGCACTTTTAGCCTCGGTAAACTAGCCTGAGTCCATATCTCCAGTATGTGGGTGCAGTCTAATTGCTGTACTGCTGCATTTCAGCTGGAAACGTTTGGTCAGTTTATCTTGTAAGTGACTTTCAAGTAGTGTATCTACGGTCCAGTGATATTGTTGAATAAAAGTCGTTTCGGATGCTGCGATCGAGTCGTGTTAGGAGTTCGATGCCAATGTTGTCATTGATTGAGACACTAGCAGAGCGGAATGAGTTCAGCTGTGGATGGCTACTACCTGGCTAGCAGTAAAAGTCGTTTTGTTGATAAACCCTGTGGCTACTCTCTGGAGAGGAAGCAGGCGCTAGCTAGCGGTACAACGTCATTCGGTTTCAAGCTAGCGTTACCGTTGCACGGCATTAACTGTGTGCCATTTTATGTAACATTCACAAAAAAATGCCGACATGTTGGTTGAATTGTGATAAAGTTGTAAATAATTACAGTGCAGTATTCGCCAAGCGAAAGGTATGCTAGCGCTACGTTAGCATGCTAACTGTCGCTAGCTGTTTTGGGGTTTAGCTTGGGTTAATTCATTCATTAGCTGACTCGAGAAACGACGTCAGTGCCAACTTATGGTCTCCAAATTTGACGCTTAGTGACCTTGTTGCTTGTGGGTTCGACCAGAAACGTATGTGTGGGTTAATACTTTGCCATTTGGCCGAAATGTCAGCAGTGCCAAGCTAACTTTTGCCCGCTAACCACGGTAGCTACGTTGGCTAGCCTCTGTGCTTCTTCAGCCAAATACTGAAAATGGCACCTCGTTTTTGGCAGTCCTTAGTCACTAACGTCAGGTGCTACCTTATGTATGAGGCTATTTCAAACCAAACGGGACTAAATATCTTCTTTAAAAGCTGTATAAAACACAACGACTCCAGTGATGGTATGAATTAGTATGGGTGGCTTGTTGATGCGGTTTGCTTAGAGAAAGTTCTGTCCAGGTTGGATGTAGTGATGTGTAGAAACGCTAGTTTTGCGTCAAAAATTGAAATTGCCGTATGCTGGGTTTGAAAATAGTTAACTGGAATTAGTGAATAGGTCCATGTGGTGAGTTGATTCATTTATGTTGTTCATTTTGCATTCAGCTTCTCAGCTCTCTGCCATTTACACAAGTAAACGTTGAAGATGTCACAATTAGATCCTGTATCCCATTGTTTTTAATGTTAGTGTTTCTGGTGATATTTATTACAAATGGAATAAGACTATAATATGTTTGCAGTTTCTGTCAGCTGCTTTACCTCAATCACAGAATTCTTTCAGTGTTTTGTACTCATGGACTCCTGCAGTGACATTTTAACAAACATCCCTGGCAGTTGTGTGCCCAGGACATTGCAATTAGGTTTTTAATTCTGACAAAATCACAGTTCCAATTATTTCTGGTGGATATTGTAGTTTCGTTGATTACGTCAGTGATGATTGTTTCTCATTCTACTTGCTGGGATAGTGAGTGTTTGAATGATGTAAGGATAAACGGAAGAATTCACATTAAATGTTTTATGCTTGCATAGGTCTCCAGTGATGTCACCTCATTACTCATGTCCACATGTCTAGTCTCAGTAAGAGTGAGTACTGCTATGTTCACCACCTGGCTACGTGGTATTTTTGTTGCTCAAGACTTTGCACCAATACATAGATCAAATGTTTTTAAAACCAGGTTCCCTAAGACAGGTTATTATCTTTAGGGAGTTTTATTTGCATCTGAATTTTCTCTGTGCATGTATAAATGGTGTTGGTAAATCAACCTTTCTTTGAGCTCAGAGTCTGCTATAATTAAATCTGGAATTAGCATGGCCCCCTGTGCAAACTCATTGGGTGGAAACGTTGCCTTTTTTTGGGCCGATGTCCAGGGATGAGCAAGAGTGAGGAAAGAATTTGCAGTACCGCTCTCCAGACCTAACCATCTCTGGAGACATGAAGCTGCTGTTGGTGTGTTTGTGTGTGTTATAGTCCGGTATGTGATCCCTGGGTTTTGGGGTCTTACAAAAGAGCTGAGGAAAGGTGATACAAGGATTTGTGTTTTAATCCCAGGTTGAACTGATGTTAGTTTTCCTAGATGGAATGGAGTCAGCGCGGTCAGGATCACCTGTTGTCTTTCTTGACGCCTTTGTTATGCTTCTCTTTTTGATTTTAGACAAAAACTTGAGGTGATAACTATTCTGGTGAGTGACTGACCTCTGCCTTTGTTGTTAAGTGTGCCATGTTGTTACATGAGGGCTCACTCCTCACTGGGTGCAGCAATATCACTCCCATTGCTGGTGACCGGTGCAGGGTTATAAATACCTCCGCCACAAGTTCTCCTAACTGGGTTTCAGGAGATGATACTAAGTTTGGGTATGACTCAGAGTCTGTAGCTCCGCTTTGTAGTGCAGCCCTGGTATAATCTCACATTTAGGCAAGACTTTGGGTGTCAATGTGAGTCACAGACCTTCTGTCACTTTAAACATGACTTGTTGCTGAAGGACCCACAAACATGTACATATGTTGTATCGATTATGTCATTTGCAGTGAAGACCTCTTGCACACATCGACGTTGTTAGTGATGAGGTGTGCAAAATTAACCAATTATAATCTGTAATGTCATCACCGATCAACATATAAGAAAACCACAGAGAGACACGGTATAGCTTTTGTAGTCTCACAGTAACATTTACATTTTTTGCGAGTCACTGAGCCAGATTGGTTTACCCATGCATGATGCAGGTGGATTGCAGAGAGGATGTACAAGTGAATGAGGGGTCCAGTAGACGAGTGGAGATTCCAGATCCTGTCGGCTAAACTTGTCTCAGAGGGTAGCATTCCAAGTCCTGTCGTCCTAGCCCGTGCATTCCTCACATGACGGTCGCTGGAAACCATAGCAAAGAGAGAGCAGAGAAGACATTCCTCAGCTGTCACCTAAACCCCTCCCCTCTAGTCGTTCTCTCTCTGGCTTGCCTTTCCCTATATGATGCCAAGGCCCAGCTGACTGTTGCCCACTGAGCTCCATCAAGGCAATTAGAGTGGAGGTAACCAGGGCTTGTCGCTCCACACAGAAAAATCTCCACGCTGACCTACACCTGAACCTTTTCTTCTGCGTTCAAGGCCTTCACTGATCCCCAGGACCAAGGTGACAGGACTCAGCTCAGCTTAACATGTCAGAGCTGGGCATTACAATGCCTGCGCTCTGTTGACATTACACACCCTCATTATGGCCCTGAAGTCTATGAACATTATCTTGCACTGTCTCCATGACAACGACTCGGAAGGTTGCTAGTCACTTGTGTTGGTGGATTTGCATGGACAGAGTGGGAGTTGCATAACAGACTGAACAGAGAGTCTTTGGCAGTGCTCAACAATTTGAAATGAGAATCAACTTCATGAATCTGTAATGGAACAATTACAGAGCATGTGGTGGAAGATGATGAGGTGGCTGTGTTTCTTTTCATCCAGACCAGCATCAGTCATATTAACACATTACATAATTGTTGTGGATCTCACTACAGCCGCAGAATTCTCAGCTGTGCCAGAGGCTTGCAGTTGGCCAGTGAGAGGAGTAAAAAAAAAAAAAAAATGCCTTTGACATGTCCCTGTCCTGGTAAAGGCAGCATGGCATCCTCTTACAGACCCCAAGCCTCCTGTCTTTCTGCCTGAGGGACAAAATCCCGCCATCCCATGTGGAGAGGCTTCTTGGCTGAGAAAGGCAAAACATGTGTGCATCACATTGCATTATAGCTCTTCCCTGTTGCTCTCACCTGTTCTGCCAGCCCACACAAAAGAGATGCAGACTTACCAAGAAAGGCTTAATCCACAAAAAATCTGTCCGCGCTCTAGCTTGATAGTCTGCCTGCATAATAACTCCCATATCTGGTGACGTTAGATAAAGACTACCTTAGATGACATATTTTGAGGATGAGATGTAGCGCACAGTGCTGCTTTTCAGCAGCCTGTGGGGGTGTATCGTATTAGGAAAACGAGCTCAGATGAAAATAACTTCATTGCATGTACATTTAATTTGGAAACAGGTGAAACATTTGAATGTCACTACCGTCTGATATGCATGGCCATCAAAATCAGCTTGCTTGGGGTTCTTTTTTTTAACGCGATTGAAATGTTTGGCTTTAAGGTAGCCTCAGGAGGGAGATGGATGACTTCAAAGTAAAGTTTCTTTGATTGCACATTTGATGGAGAGCCTGATTGAGTACTTTACAATGACTTATTCTTGAACGTGCAGGTCCAGGTTGTAAAGACGTCACTCAACTTTGTGCAGCCTTTCATTTGACATTTTAGTAATTGTGTGCGTGTTATTAAGTAGTTGTGTACTATAAATGACCTTTTCTTTACATATGGCTATGGCTAGCATGCCTATTTCTTTTGATAAATTCATGCACAAAACTAGTTTCTACCTGAAGAGTTATTGGGAAGATTATAGGCTTCACGGTCAATACAATAAAGGTAACTGCATTTTGAAATGTTGGCTTAATGAAATGTAAAGGTGTTGTCGGGTTTTTATGGTGAGGTGCTTTCATATTTAGCCTGTAACAGAATCTCTGTGCTCAGTGGTTTCTGTCCTTGTCAGATGTCTGCCGCATTTAAGAAGAAGTCTGCTTTCAGATCACTTTTCTTGCAAATCATTGCACAAGTTTGCAGGTTCTTTGTTATGGTTTAAGGCCATCTTAAGGAAGAGCTCGCTAGTCACTCACGCATCTCTAACATATTGCTGA